GAAGGATCTGTAATATAATCTATCCTTACATGGCATGACAACTTCACTAACTTTCTCACCAATGTGATATAACTTACCTCTGTCTTTTCTATAAATATTTTCATAGCAAATACTTTGGCGATCTTTTTTTCCTGTTGCCTCGACTATATAATTTAAAGCATGCTACTAGATAGGCATTTAGGTCCCACCCATTTAGTGTTGAAATAGCTATTTTCTGGCACTTCCCACCTGCGGAACTCCCTTCCGCTTACTTGCTTCCCTGATAACTACAATCTCTAAACATCTAAATGCAACTTCAATCGCTATCTTCTTGAATCCCGTTCATTTTTTATCCTTTCCTCAAGTCTCCCTACATTCAGTCTTTATATTATTTTCACTCCCCCGTAACCCCCTGCGTACTAGTGGCATTCCAATCTTGCTTAGGGTGAAATTGTTAAATTAAAAAATATGTTGCCTTGGTAAGCTATCATTCAAAAACAACCTTCGGGTAGCAAAACTTTTACAGGGTTCAGACATTTTTGTCAGTGATTTACTTGCGCAATCAATTTTGCTGAGGATTGTATTTTGAAAAAATAAAAAAGAGAACATCAAAAGTTATTGATTTCAATCAAGGTCATTTGACATGCAAGATTGAGAAAAGAACAAGTCAAAAAGATAGACTGAGATGCAAAGAGAAGTACGCCGTATTGTAACGTATCGATCTCCTCGTGATCGACGTGGAAGTGACATTCGATTATGATGTTATCAATAGATGAGCCGTAGTTCTGAGTTTTAAACTAACGAAAAGAACAGGAACAATGAAGAAATGAGGATTTGATTAATATCAACATGAGAGACAAGAAAATATCTCACACGCTGAGATTTCTATCAATTGATCCCTCAAAATCCCGATCTATTTATATCATTGCCAAAGCCGGTTCCTTTTTGCCATCATCGTTTAATATGTAAACACACACACACACACACACACACACACATATATATATATATATATATATATGTGTGTGTGTGTGTGTGTTCATATCTGTCTTAGATTTCGCATATCTATCTATCTAGCTATATATCATTCTCTGTCTTTTCATATCTATCCATTTATCTATCTCAATCTGTCCATATCTATCTATCTATCTATCTCATTCTTTTCCTCTTCGATCTGTCTATTTGTCTATCTATCTAGCTAGCTAGTTATTTTCCTTATTTAACGATCGATTGATATCGTCCTGTTAAGTATTTACTTCGGTATTAATCTCACTCTTTTATTATCTAACTCATTTCATTATCTATCTATCTATCTATCTATCTATCTATCTATCTATCTATCTATCTATCTATCTCATTCTGTTCCTTATCTATCTATCTATCTATCTATCTATCTATCTATCTCAGTCATTTCACTATCTATCTATCTATCTATCTATCTATCTATCTATCCCTGTATGTCTCTATCTATTCATCTCTCTATTTCTTTATTCATTCATTTATCTTTCCATTTCTTTATCTATCTATCAGTGTTTTACTCTGTTCATATCTATCTATATCTTTACTTATCTATTTCTGTATCTATCTGTTCATCTCTCTCTCTCTATCTATCTGATCATCTCTCTCCCTCTCTATCTCTGTATCTCTCTCTCTATCTCTGTATCTCTCTTCTATCTATCTATCTATCTATCTATCTTGCTAGCTATATATATATATATATATATATATATATATATAGTCTTTCCTTAATTTTATCAATGCATCTCTGTATTTTTCAACGCACTTCAATTCCTATTTATCTCTATTTTTGCCCGTGGTCTCGATATAAATACTTCTTTCTCTCTTACCCTCTTTCGCACTATGTCTCACCGAGATAGATTGACAGACAGGTCATCTCAAGATGTTGTTATCCTATTCAACCTAAGATCTATCACAATCTTTTTTATTTCAATTTTATTACTCAGCTCATATTTCTTATGTCATTCTGCGTTTTACTTTCTTGATTGATTTTTCGATTAATCGATCGGCTAATATTTTCATAATATTACCTTGTAATAACATGTACGTGTTCCTATTTAAACAAACTTTTTATTAAACAACATATAATTTAATGACTTTGATTAAAACTATATAATATGAAAAATCAATAAAAACCACATAGAATTGACATGTTTTAAATATTAAAATAGTTGAAAAAATTAATGAAAATATATGCTGACGGCTTTTTATTTTTTTATTTTTTGCATAATGTGTAGACTAGACCCAAGTGGCAAACTCTACCGTACTGATCAGAATGTTGACGACCCATAGTGAGTGGAGGTAGTCTAAAATTCGTGAGTGAATTCTGAAAAAAACGCACGAAGACATTCAATAGAGTTACGAGAGTGGAATAGTGAAAATGCCTTCTACTCACAGATTCCTTAATGAAACAGGTCATTGGTTAGTTGGCCAAAAACTTTTTTCGTCCGTAGTCTCTAACTATCTCATCTCTCGCTTCCTCCAGGAAACAATACGATTATAACTCTGTCTCTCTCTTGAAATAAAACTAGGAATAGTAACCGTTATGTTGAACACCCCTATTTTAGAGTTAATAGACTCTCCCACTTAATATAAGTAAGAGTAGTAAGAGAAACGAGGGTCAGTCGATGTCGGACGACCGGCTGAACGGTTGAACTCTCTGCCTTCGGGCGAGGAGGAACCCGAACGAGGCTACGCCGAGGGTCGGAGTCTCGTTCGGGGAGGTAAACCGACCCTGAATCCGTTTATACAGGTTCAAAGGGCATATTTGTAGCCGAGCCCACGGGCTCGGAGATCCCACGTTAAACCGGCCTTGTGCCACATGATACCCTTGTGGGGGTGACTAAATACTAGTCGATGTCGGACGACAGTAGTCGACAGTTAATCGAATACGAAAGTAGTCAGCGACCACAACAAGATTACTCTGCGTAATATCTATTATATCAAGTTGCTAACGTTTTGTACGTCGAACCTCTTTTAGGACCGATTTAGTACAAATACAAGCCTCCACTGCGAAATAACGCAACAACAGTAACCTAAAGCTGTCCCCAGTTCATTCAGTCTGTGATGCAGCGTTGGGATTTGAAGACTTGCCAGTAGAACACAAAAAACTAGAGACGACACGAAACGCAACCAGTTGCCTTTTTCTTAATCTGACGGGAAATTTCCAAAAATATTTTGCTTAAATTATAACCAATTTCTAATCTTTCTTTTGGATTGTTGAAGGAGGGCTATTCTCCCTACTGCCAATAAGTCTTCTCCTGAAACTTTTATCTGCTTGAGGGTTACGTTGTGTACATTGTCGGCAGTTGAGTGATGTTGGCTGAGGTGTAAGGTTGGCAATACTTGAGTGTAGATCGCGATTAACGTAGTTATTTCGTCATGAATTACCCACAATGAAAAGAAGATGTTATCATTCAAGTAATCATATATATGAATATATAAGAAAAATCATGTCAAATGTATAAGAATTATTATTATTTTTTTTCATTAATTCCAGACTACTAATAATCATTCTAATCCTAATTTTTAAACCTTTTCTATAGTAAAAAATATCTTTGCTAAAAGTATCAATGCTAATTTTCAGGGGATTTTAAAATAAAAATCAGTAACAATGCATTCGCATATAATAGCCTCGTTCTGAAAGTGAGTCTGAATTCATTAACTCTATCACAAAATATCTTTAGCAATGCCTTCACATTATACATATAATAGCCTCGTTCTGAAAGTGAGGCTGAATTCATTATCTCTATCATAAAAAAAACATTAGCAATGGATTCGCATTATGCATGTAATAGCCTCGTTCTGGAAGTGAGTCTGAATCCATTACGTCTATCATTAAAATCATTAGCAATGCCTTCGCATTATACATGTAATAGCCTCGTTCTGTAAGTGAGGCTGAACTAATTATCTCTATCATAAAAATCATTAGCAATGCATTCGCATTATGTATATGATAGCCTCGTTCTGAAAGTAAGTCTAAATCCATTACGTCTATCATAAAAATCATTAGCAATGCATTTGCATTATGCATGTCATAGCCTCGTTCTGAAAGTAAGGCTGAATTCATTATTTCCCGAGTAAAATGAACCAGTTAATTAATCAGTTCCTTTATACCTACGTTTTTTAGCTTGCAGTCTTATTTGTTCAAGCCTTTCATGTGAAGCACTCAAATACCTTTGCCTGTTAAATCATCGTCTTGTTTCAACATGGTCTCTCAATACGCTCTGACGTCACCGTCTTTGTCGTTCTGTTGAGAACCTTTTTCTTCCGAAAGATATTTCCATTTCGCTGCTATATTAAATACATCAAATATTTAAATGAAAAGATATTGAGCAAAAAGCGAATTATATAACACCAGGAGTTATTAATGAATCATAGATACCATTGAAAGTCTAAAAACTAGAAATTGAACATATTAAACGGTTCAGTGTCCTCTATTTTCGATGTGAATTCTTTGTCTCAACTTTATTAAATATCGATACTTTGTTTTAAGACTTTTGTTTCATTGCATCTCAATATTTAAACTTTCTAAAAATGGCCATCTTTGACGGCAGGGGTACACTGTTTGTATGTAGTAGGCCTATTCTGATTTTCAGTGTATTTTATAATAAATATCATGAAAGTGAAGCTGAATTCATTAATTCTATCATAAAATATCATGAGCAATTCTTTCGCGTTATACATATAATAGCCTCGTTCTGAAAGTGAGGCTGAATTAATTAACTCTATCATAAAATATCATTAGCAATGCATTCGCATTATACATATAATAGCCACGTTCTGAAAGTGAGACTGAATTGATTAACTCTATCATAAAATATCATTAGAAATGCCTTCTCATTATGCATATGTGACGTCCTCCCCGGTCTCGCTGCGCCAATCGTGACGTCTGCCTGGCTGCGTCCGTCGTGCTATCCTGTCCTGTGACGACCAACTGGCTTGGTATTGGTCGCGGCACCAAATGTGACGTTCTAACCTTTTGGTGATTCGGATGGGAATCTGGTTAGATTCGGTATCAGCCTTGTCGTTCCCAGCTCGCCTCCAACGTCTGGTTATCGAAGTAACTGCTTTGATTTCTAGTCTAACCTACCCACATTGTGATTTGATCTTAGGTAGACGAAATCAATCAGTCGCCGGGCCGTAATGCAAGTCGAGTTCGAATCAAGGGTGATATCGCACAAGTATATGTAAAAGAAAAGAAAATAATAACTCGAAAAGTTCAAATGTGTAAAAAAAAGGATAACAATATTTTATATATGGTTGCTGCATACAGGACTGCGTCTTCTTCCCAACCCGCTATATGGATTCGTGACACTTTGTTTTTGTTAGGCGAGTCTTAACATCTTAAGTTTTTTGTTCTTTAAGAAACTGGTTCTTGGTGTATCTTCAGGCGATATTCGTAAAACTTGTTTTGGTGGTATGAGTCTAAGTCGTTCTTCAAAAATAAATTGTTCTTGCCTAGAAGTTGACGTCGTGATTGCGTGGATATCTTTCAGTCAGCTTCCTGCGAGGCTATTAACTCTGTAACTGTCTCTGCAATTGCAAATTCCAACTCCAACTGGAACTGAACTGAACTGGAACTGCTTTTCACTCGCTGAGACTCTGCTTATATGGACGCCGACTAAAACTGGGGTGGACTTGTCGGGGACTGAGGTTCCTTGATAATTCCAAACCCACAATCCACTTCTTTGTTTTCGGTCAGGAAAATTTTATTATTTTCCATTTTTGGAAGTCTTTCGTCTTCCCACCTTCTTCTGTTCTCATATTGGTATCTCACCATACCCTCAGAGGGTGTCAACGAGTTTCCCCTCTCTCTCACAGTGGCATCTCACACCTATGCCTTCAGAGGGGGCGCAACAGGCCTCCCCTCCTTCTTCACATGATTACCTCCGCCTAACACTCATGCTATCATTCAGCCAATGGGCGCTCAGCAGCGTGGGTGCGGCCAGACTAGCCTCGGTTTAAAAGAAATCTTGTTCAAAGAAAAAAAATTATCTTCCCTTTTTTTTCTTTTCCTTTTCTTTCTTCTCTTCGAGGAGACCTCACACCCTAGACTCTTTATCTTAAGCGAATCACCTGGAATTCGTCAATCAGATTTTCGCCAGCATCAAGTGGGTGGCCATTTGGCCGTATTTGCATTCTTGGTGCCAATTACTGATCCGATAAAATAGTTTCGCTATCATAGCCCGCCCTGACGATAAATAGATGCACCTCTCAATGATTTCTGCATATAGACAAAGGCTTAACCTTTCCTTCATGGTGGTCAGCGGGCATTTTTGTTTTTTTTTTCTCGGACAGTGCGTGCTTAATTAATTTTCATTTTTATCTCTTTGGAATTCTGCGGGAGGCAACTTGTCCAACTTAAAAATTCCCTTTTCCATTGCCATGGGCAGATTGGACATAACTTACCCGCCGCCCCCGTAACATAAATCAGATTAATTCTGTGTTTTATCTTCTCGACAATGGAAATAAAAATCTTACCACTTTTCCTTGTCAGAAAAATAACACCGCTTAGTGTCCTTTTCGTGATGGCTTCTTATCACCAAAATTTAATTCTCGCCTTTCTTTTTTTCTTCTTCTTTTTTAGCAAGCCAAATAGTGTCACATATATAATAGCCTCGTTCTGAACGTAAGGCTGAATTCATTAACTCTATCATAAAATAACTTTAGCAATGCATTGGCATTATGCATATAATAGCCTCGTTCTGAAAGTGAGGCTGAAATCTTTATCTCTATCATTAAAATCATTAGAAATGCATTTAATCGTTGAATATCAAACCGTTGAGTATTTTATTCCCTTAGCTAAATGGAAATACTACAGAATGGTTAATGAATCGTGTATGTAGAGTTGTTAATACCTAATGGTGGGCAAATAGATAATGTCTCGGATTGAGGAATTGGAGAGACGAGTTCGAATTCCAGTTTGTTATATTCATATACTATATGTATCCATCTCTTTCCCTCACAACTATGGCAGGTCGGAGTGGGTCCTATAGCCTTGAGTAGAAAACGGTCTATGAGAATAACAATTCTGAATTCAAAACCCCTATTGGTAAATAGTAGGGTAGACTGGGCTTTTCGTTCCTGAGCAGTATCCAATCTAGGAAAGAGACAACTTTGAATTGTAAAATAAATGTACGCAGAGTCTGGAAGCACATTCTATGTAGCTAATGAAAAGATCCTGGAGTTTACAAATGACCGGACTGCGGTGGGCTCGTGTATGTGCACCTGTGTGTGAGTCTAGTCATCAATATTCTTTTTTGCGTAAGTGTTTATGAAGTTCCTAGGAATATTACATTATAATTGAAGAGATTTGTTCATATCTTGATTTGGTATGCTATTAAATCAATATTTTATAGTCATTTAAGCGTGTAGAATTGTTCTATTCTCTACATTGTACTATTCTGTGTTCTGTTCAATAAGACACGAGGTTTACTGGGAACCAAAAAGTCTCCCGGAAGAGAACGATACCCGTTTAATCTTCAATGCAACCTGTTTTTA